GCAGCTGCGCTGATTCTTGGTGGCCCTTCATCCCGAGAGCATCTCTAGGGAGACCGGGAATCTGGGGGGTTAGTCATCCGCAACAGCAGGTGGATGGGGGAGCAGGGTGCAAAAGACCCTCCCCCAGAAGGCTGGGGCAGAAGAGTCTTTGGGTCAGGAGACACTGATGGGCTCATGAAGCAGGCAGCTGCAGGGCAGGGATAGAACCCGGGGCTCGGGTCAGGCTCCCAGTTCGGCGCCCGGACCCAGCACCATGAGCACATTAGGAAGGGTCCTTCACCTCCATCCGCTTCCCTTCTATTGGTTACATTTAAGCAGAGCCACAGTTCACAGGATTTCGTGGGGAGGCTGGTGGGGAGGTAAGATGTGAATGGGCCACGGGTGTCAGCAGGCTGGGATGCATCGGCTGTAGGTCCTGCCTTCTACTGACCCTGAGAACACCTGGATGCATCTGTAACAGTTGCTACTGAACGGGGAGCTTGTGTCTGGGAGACTCTGGAACCCGCTATCCAGGCTCCCTGGAGAGTCTCAGGTCCCAGTGAGGTAGAGGGGGCTACCTAGGTGGCTTTCTATCATCTGTAGTGCCTCCGCCCCTTCCCCTGGCCCTGGCCTCCCACCATGCCCCTCCCCACCCCCATTAGCACAGGTCCCTTGGTGCCATCTCTGCTCTGCTCCTTGGTGCCCGACATCCCACTGCTGCACCAGCAAATCAGATGCCACGTCTCGGAGGATCCCATGCCATGGTCCTGAGACAGTCTAACCCTGCCCCCACCGCTGGCAGGCTGTGCAATGTGGGGTGCTCCATCCTGGGCCCCTGCACTCTCCCAAGATCCCAGTATTAGGAAAGGAATGACATTAGGATGGAGAAGGGCAAGGAACTCTACCGGATCCCAGGGTGGCCCAGGGGATGGAGAGAAGGAGGGACCAGGAGCAGGAGGGAGGGTAAGGCTTCTGAGGGAGCAGTGAGCTGTCTCTCCAGGTTCAGGTGTCAATCGGTGTCTTCTCTCCCACCTCCCCTCGACCTTCAGGGTAACTCACTGTGATAGAGTCGCCCAGGGCTCCAATGACCTTGATGTCAGCTGGCTTCAGCCTGTGAACTGGGACACATACAAGCCGGGGTGAGTG